CCTTTCAACTCCAGCAGTTCCCAGAGATGTTGTCACAGATTTAATTTTTGCTGTAGCCTCAAGCGAAGCAATAATCATGTTTCCTTTTTCTGTAGCTAGGGTCCCGGCTCCTTTGCTAGCTGATTCTAATTCCATTCCATGGTATTCAGCTGTTTGATGTTTTCTCAAGCTCCCCAGAATATTTCAGGGGAAGATTTACTTATGTAACATTTTTTTTGGATTGCCAGCATGTGAGAAACCCCATCTGGAAGGTGGTGGGGTGAAATGTAGGTAAATTGGACTGGTGAGGTGCATTCGGGCTGGTGGGTGCATGAAAAGACATTGGAATGGGTGGGGGTGTATTTATCTCTGTTTTTCATAGTTGCAAAAATCAGCTGGGGTTGTGTGCTGTACTGAGCACAGACGTGTGATATGCTGCAGAGATGTGCTAGCCATGGAGCATGGGTGTTTCTGGAGAGTGATGATAGTGTGTTAAATACCATCTCCCCTCATGGCTTTCTCAAGCCTGCTCCATTCAAGTCGATGGCAGATCTCCGACCAGCTTCAGTGCATGCAGGACAAGGTCCTAACTATTCAAGCAGAAATAATTTGTATGGGATTTTCAACTTGCTTAGGTGCCTTTGGAAATCCCACCCATGGCTGCTACAAAAAGAAATGGTAATTAATGCCAACGTTCTAGAATCTCAGTGGTGCTATCTGTGTGACCTACGTCACCACTGAGATTCCGGCTCATATATCAGTACAAATACACAAATTAATCTGGTTATCACCAGGTATAAATGATAACACTGATCATAAAGATGAAGCCAGGTCATTGAAGATCACATGGGCCTGCTATAAAAGCAATTCATTGAAGATCAAATCTTGTGGCATGCATCAATAGATGGAAATACAATTAAGAACAAGGCTCTTGACAGTAAGTCGTATTTTGCTTGGACAGGAGACAGAGCTTTCTTGGGGGCTGGAACGAACTCTCAAAGGATGTAGGAATCACCAGAAACCCCTCTCCCTGTATTCCCGTAGAAGGTACACTTTGACCTGCCTTCACTCAGGCCTTGTCTACACTATGGGCGGGGCGAGTGAATCGATCTAAGTTACGCAACTTCAGCTACATGAAGAACGTAGCTGAAGTTGATGTACTTAGATCTACTTCCTGCAGAGTCCACACTACACGATGTTGATTGGAGATGCTCTCCCATCAATGGGAGAGCAATCGGCAGTCGATTTAGCAGGTCTTCACTAGACCTACTAAATTGACCGCTGATGCATCAATCGCCATGTGTCAAACCTCCCGTAAGTGTAGATAAGGCCTAAGAAATACTCACAGCACAGCACACAGAAATAAGCTATTTTGAAAAAAACACACACACAATTTTCCCCTTGGGGAGAAGAAGACAGACAGAAGGAAAGACCAAAATTAAAGGTGCTAATCATGTCACTTAACACTATTGAAAGGTGATCAGGTATGTTGGTAGGTACAGTATAGAAACCAGACATTTTTTCTGGATCTGCCTGGCTGCGAAAATCATGTTGGTTGTGCCTCATGATGGTCTGAAGTCCCACTGGGACTCTGGAAGTACTTCCTGTGCAAGAGGGAACAGGTGATTCAGTAAGATTCTACTAAGAATCTTCCCATTGATGGAGAGGAGAGCAGTGCCTCGATAGTTGCCAAAATCGGCCCTGTCTCCCTTTTTGAAAATGGTGGCGATGTCAGCATTACATAAATCAGCAGGGATTTCTTCAGTGCGTCGGATTTTGAGGAGCGGCAAGTGAAGCTTGTTAGTCAGTGTTTCTCCCCCCCACTTTCAGTACTTCAGCTGGTATGCCATCAGGACCTGGTGCTTTATTGTTCTTCATTTGTTTAATTGCTTTGCAGACCTCCCCTGGTGGTGGTGGGTTGGCAAGAGTTTCCAAGATTGGGTGCTGAGGGATGGAGTCGATGGTGTCATCAGGCACCGTCATTTCTCGATTTAGAAGCTTTTGATCGTGTTCCTTCCAGTGCTCTGTGATGGATTTGTTATCTTTAAGCAGGGTACTACCATCTTCGATCCCAGAGGTGTGAGGCCACCAGAAGCTGTATATGGCCTTCATCAATCTGATCAAAGCCTTCAACTGTCAACCATGAGGCTGTGTTTAAAATCATGTCAAAGTTTGGCTGCCCAAGCAAATTTGTCACCATTGTATGACTCCTCCATGTCCAGGTGACTGTCTCCATCCAGTGCTGTGAGGCCTCTACCTCTGAGGCCTTTGTCATCTGAACAGGTGTAAAACAAGGCTGTTTACTGGCACCCACCCTTTTCTCCATTTTCTTAGCAGCTGTGAAAACACTAACCCAAGACCATCTACCCCAGGGCATTTGACATAATACTGTCTTCCCATCCCAGGACTTCAGTTATTATTCTAACTGAGGACAGAGTTAACAGATTGATATAAGGCATAGGAGAAGCTATAAAGGTCTTTATGTGCCCCAGTCCTCTTTGGAATGTTCCACTGTTTTACAAAGCTCTAATGTAAGCTTGCAGGAGACTGTAATTGGAGCCACATTTTTCCCAATTGCATAATTAGGTTTGCATAATGAGAAATGAGCATTTTGTAAAATTGAAAAATGTAAGGCTCATGCCCTCTTTGGCTGCAGACCAGTTTCGGAGGGTTGGTGCCTTTCTCAGCCCTGGCCAAAGATCCTCACTTTCTCTACTGAATTGCGTGACACATCGGGACAAATTCCACACTGATGTAAGTAAAACAGCTCCTAGTCAATGGCACTTCAGTAAAAGTTGTGTCTGCTTACATCGGGGCTGAATTAGATCCAGTGTCTCTCTCTTACCCCCAGGTCCTCTCATTAATTTCAGTGGAGCTCAAAGGGCTGTTCACAGGGATCCTGTTGCAGGATTAGGGCATAAAACTAGAAACCTTAATTATCTACACAAAGTTCCTTTAACTGAATAATACAGTCAGTGGATGCATATAACACATCATTCAATTAAAGGGACTGTAACATACAGAGATTAATGATAGAGGGTTATATCCCCCGGCCGGCCTGGGAACTCGGGGGAAACCCCCAGGGGGCGCCGGAACCTGTTGTGGCGGAAAAGGAGGTTTGGGCCTCCCTACTCTCCATGCTGCCGCTGCTGCGAACCTCACCAGGAAAAGTGCCATAAAAGTGCCAGGAAAGAAGAAAATTGATATGAGGTGTACATTGTACACAGGGTACTGATTTTAGCTTTTAATCAGTAAACGCCAGTAAAACACCCTAATTACCAAAAAAAAAAAAAAAAAAAATCAGTGTTTATCCAACAAACACTAGAAACACATTGGAAATGGTTACTTGTATCTAAGACAGCAGTTTTCAACCTTTTTTCATTTGCAGACCCCCCTAAAAATGTTCAAATAGAGGTGCAGGCCCCTTTGGAAATCTTAGACATGCATCTAGCTAGAAAGAAGATAAATGGGTATGGTTTATGGTGTGAATTTAACAAAGGTGCTGAGACTTGTTTGGGATGGGAATCAGGCATGTATTAGGCTATTTTTCCTTTTTACCCACAAGGATGAAAAGTGCTTTGGAAAGAAATAACATAGGAATATTTAGGAACTGATCAAAGGTTGTATAAAGAAATTCCATAGGCTCCCTCACTGTTTGCATTTTCTAACCAGACTTGTGGATCTGAGTGTGCAGGGCCATTGAGGGCTGCCAGCTTTGTCACAGGAATAGGGGCATGGAGGGGGGCTACAAAACCAAGATCTGCTCTACAGTGTTGATCCTTTGGCCCCTTATTAAACAGAAACACAGACCTTCCATCTAGCTATTTGCTGCTTTTACAACTGTCATTAGTGCAGATTGTGTCAGGCAGCAGGGCTGGTCTACACACAGGTTTTGTACCAGTCTATCATATTTTGTGTGTGTGTGGGCGCACATGCGCTTTTGTAACCATAGTTATACCTATACAGCCCCTTGTGTGAATGCAGTTATACTGGTGTAAATGTACAAGCATATCACTATAGCTTATTCCCCTTCCTGTGTGAGAATAGCTGTGCCATCAAACGCATCTTATACCAGTATAACTGCATCCACACTAGTGGAGCGGTACTGCTTTAACTACACTGGTTTAACTAACATGGTACCACTTTGGTGTCTAGACGGGCTCTGAGTAAAAGACACATGAAGGTCTTATGGGGGCAGCGCGGAACTTGCTTTGCCCAAATGGACCAATGTTCTTGATAGCCCTTTATTTCCTAATCCCATTGACACTGACAGTTGGGATCACGGGACCATAAATGCTAGATAGGCAGTGTGGGGCAATGCTTGATCTGGAACCCAGGAAACCTGGATTCTGTTCCCAGCTCTGCCCCCAACCTGCTGTCTGACCATGGACAACCAATCTGTGGCTCTATTTCCCCTCCCACTCTTTGTTTCTATTGTAATCTCCTTGGTGCAGGGACTGTCTGTTATTATCATAGACTCATAGAAATGTCGGGCTGGACGGGACCTCGAGAGGTCATCAAATGCAGCCCACTGCACTGATGCAGGACCTAGTAAACCGAGACCGTCCCTGATGGGGGTTTGTCCAACCTGTTCTTAAAAACCTCCCAGGACAGAGTCCACACCCTCCCTTGGGAGCCTGTTCCAGAGCTTCCGCACCCTTACAGTTAGAAAGTTTTCCCCTAATATCTAACCAAAATCTCCTGTGCTGCAAACTAAGCCCATGACTTCTTGTCCTACCTTCAGTGGCTATAGAGAACAATTGATCACCGTCCTCTCTGTCCCAGCCCTGCACATTTTATGTGTATCTAGAGTGTCTTGCGCTGTCTTGGTTGGGGACTCTACATGCCACCACCATACAAATCATCTTGCATTCTTCTTAGCATGAGCAAATTCAAGCAGCTGTTACCAACAGCTTAAGTATTAATGAAACTACAGTGAGCTTTAACCACCTTATTTTCAAAAGGCAGGGTGTTTGGAAGCTATTTAACACTTGGATTCTTCTTCTGCCTGTTTTGTTCAGGTCCTATTAGCAGTATTTTAGTGAATCGTTTTGGCAGCCGACCCGTGGTTATATTTGGAGGCCTGCTGTGTGGAATTGGGATGATTTCGGCGGCGTTCTGCACTAGCATTTTACAGCTTTACATCTGCGTTGGAGTCATTTCAGGTAACAAAAAAGCTTTCCTTTTGCCCCTTCTCTTGAGATTTCTTTTCTAAGGCAAACCCCTGTCCTCCTGCGGATACTTAAGCATGTGCATAACTTTACGCATCTGAGTAGTCTCACAACCAGGGCTACTCACCCAAATAAAGTTACACATGCTTAAATGTTTGCATGACCAGGCCTACACTTCTTCATAACTGTGTTTTCAGCTTACTTTGTGTGAGTCTAAAGTGTGGCAGGCTCTTTGCAGATGAGTGCTCTCCTTCAGGACAATAATGGAGATGGTTATTAGTGCCCCTCAACTCCTGCTGAAGTCAGTGGATCACGCGGCACCTTGCATGATCAGATAGCCCTATCTGTTAATATTTTTCTCTTTCTGAAGATGGCGATTTGTACACAAATAGTGGATCTACGAGAGTCAGGTTTTGTTGATACTCATTTTGGTGGGGAAAGGGGAGATTTATATTTATATAAAAACAATAAAAACTAGAGTTGGTTGGAAAGCAAGAAATTTTTCCTTTAAAAATTTCCTAAAATTTAGTCCCTTTTTTTCATTGAAAAGGTGGAATTCTAATAACCCTTTAAGCCAAGAAGTTTTCCTTTCCTGGAGTTCAACGGTTGGCCCAGTTCTGCATGGCTAAAGTCAGCAGGGATTTTGCTGTTGACTTCAATGAGAGTTGGGTACAGCCCTCCGTCTGCCCGTCTGTGTGTGGGGACAACAGTATCCACGTTTAGCTGGGTCGGTACATCACAGCTCAGAGCACCAGTGGGCAGAGTTCACCAGGAGGAAGAAGTCAGGTTTTGTGTGCTAGAGCAAGAATCCTGGGAGGCAGAAAGAGTCCAGGATTATAGGAAAGGTTTGCCGAGAGGGGCTCCCCCTCATTTCCCTGGCTTGGATGAATTGCTTCCCTATAGTTCCCCCTCCTGGGTTGGTACCGTGAGCGCTTCCCCTTGTTCCTGTTACATTTCACTTTAGCCACTGGGAAGAGCTTCAGAGAAACAGCCCTGGCTGAGTTCTCCAACTGCCTCTGGGAAGAAGTGTGGCAGGGAGGAAGCAACCAAGTCCAGCTACAGGCATCCTCTGTGTTTTCTGAACCCTCCTCCTCTCATCTCCCCTCCGCCCTCCATACAGCAAAAATAATCCACTGATTGCTGGTGAAATCTGTTCCCTCTCCAGTTTATACAGCTTGTTTCTGTTAAAACCCTCAGAGTGAGCCAAACCCGGCGGTTCCCAGTTAGGTTAAGGCTGGCTCTGCACTAGGGCGAACAGCATCTTCTAGCGTGAATGCCTAAAATTAGACTCTGAAATTCATAACTAGTCTTCTCTAGGTGCCTAATTTTCAGCATCCATTTGATCATTTTAGAATAGATGTTTATAATGCTGCCTCCAGGGCAACGAAAACATCTGTTTGAAAGCATGACGCGTTACGCTAAAGTACTGACTTTACAGCATCTGAGATGTGGAATTAATATACTCCCTGCCACTGTGGCTGCACCAGATAGCCCTGACGTCTGATAATGAACTCCAGGGGCTAAACTTGTAAGATTAATAACACAGTTTACTGGCAATGGGGAAAAACATTAATTGGGACAGAAAACTTATGACCATGCTCCCCTGCACACAGACTGTCTCATTAAATCTGGTTGTGAAATGTTACTTCATGCACCTAAGTAGCTTGGTTATTTTTATTTCTTACGCGGTTCTGATTGTGCCACCACATTTAGGTGACACCCTGTTGTCACTGAGTGAGCAACAATTCACACAGCTTCTTGGAAGGAGAGTCCAGAAATAAAAATAACCTGCAATTCTTAACCTCATGTGCTAGTCAAAGGGGCAATGGATCCAGCTATAAGCCATTGCCGAGCACTGGATTGCTGCATTCCCTTACAGACAAATGCCCTTTAAGAAATCAGTTAATGTAAAACACAAATCCTTTGTGATAGACTATATAAGCATTTCACACTATCAACCGGGAATAGAAGTGCACCAATATGGAACATTGTATGCCTTGGGATAAATGCTGAGCTACAGTAAATTGCCACAGTGGATCAGACCAGAGGACTGTCTCATCTGGTATCCTGTCCCTGACAGTGCCCTGTACCAGCTGCTGCACAGGAAGGTACTAGACTCTTCCCCATAATGGACAATTATGGAATAAGTTGCCCCTAGGAGTAGCGTCTCCTTCAAACTATAATTATTTATTATTTGTATTGGGTTAACACACAAAGGCCCCAATCAGAATCATGTCCTTGTTGTTCTAGGTGCTGTACAAACACCCAGGAAGCTTCAGGTCCAGATATTTGCACCTAAAGATGTTGCTAAGTAACTAGTGTGCAAAGTGCCTAACTCCCAATGGGCCTACATGGTTTTAAAAATCCCACTAGGCCCCAAAGAATTTACCACAGGAATTGAGTCTCTTTGAAGAGGTTTACATCCCTGTGCTGATAAGACAAAATGACACAGTTGCAAGTTGCCTTACAAGATCCATCAAGCCAACAAAAATCAGGGCGTGGTGTTATCTGATAGTGCAAGCGCAGAACACACCCCCCCTACTTATTTGTTGTATAACTGTACTGGTATAACTGGTAAAACTCCCCCAAGTGCACAAGGCCTTAGACACACCTATAATTTCCTGGGTCTGCTGCTAGTGTGCTCAGGAGCGAATGAGAATCCTCTCAGGAGAGAAGAAAATGCTTTCAGTGCTCTTAATTAGCTTGATGCTCCTAGTTATATTTGAAAATTTTTTTCAACTAGTTTGTTCAGATCTGACATGGGAGCATTTAAGGATAAGTATAAAGTCAGCCTACTGATCACATGACTGTGGAAAAGTAATTACCTGAGAGATACATATACTGCAATTTACAGTGAACTACACTTCACTGCTTAGTCTGAAAGGAGACACACTTTGACGGGGAAAAGCATGCCCTGTGTACTTCCAAGGGACAGAGTTAAAATGAGAAACCCACCAGCAAAAGATCTCTGCTAGCGGCCCTTGCCTTTGGCATGTTAATAGCGTCTCTTCAGAGGTAGAGGTTAGAAACATAAATGTATCAGTTCATACTGTCTAGATAGACACACCATTCTCAGTTGCTCTCTCAGTTGAGGTCTGTCTTTTTTCTATTCATATCAGGTGTGGTCAATCCTTACTTACCCTCCGAGCTGCATACGACAATCTTCAGAAGTTCGAGAGCCGGAGTGCACCTGCCAGGGCTTGGGGCTTCTGTCCTGCAGCAAGGTGATGGGGCTGGGGGCTTCTGCTGTGCAGGGTCAGGAGTCTCGAGGCTTCAGCCCTGTGGGGTGCACCTGCTGGGGCACGAGACTTCAGCCCTGCTCCAAGTCCCGAGCCCCGGAAGGTGCCTCCTATGGGGCTGAAGCCCCAAGACCCCCCTCCCTGCTGGGCAGAAGCTCCTAGTCCCACCACCGCACCACAGGGCAGAAGCCCTGAGCTGCCCCAAACAATCTGGTAGGCAGAGAATGAGGGGTGGGGAGGGGGCTCTGAGAGCCATAATTTAACTGTAAAAGAGCTGCATGCGGCTCATGAGCCAGTTTGGCTACCCTTGATTTATATGTAGGTCAGATGCAAATTCATGTAATCATTGAGTCAGGGAAGTGGTACCCTGCCTGATGCAAGGGAGCTGCCATCTTTTGAATGATGTATGCAGTGTTGTTGTAGCCGTGTGTCCCCCAGGATATTAGAGAGACCATATTACCTCGTCCACCTTATCTTTTGAATGAGACATAAAACCAAATACCTGACCACCAGTGGTCATTAAATATCCCCAAGCACTTATAATAAGATGAGTGGCGGTTGCTCTTTTGTTCTGGCCAGTTCAGATACATAAATTCTGCCTAACTCTAATTGCCTTTACAGTTTCAGTAGGGCAGGGTTTTAATCTTCACTTCCTTTCCAAAACAGTTTTGTAGTGGTGCTGTGTATTGTTTAACGGCTGCCGTGTTCCACCCCAGAGGCTGCAGCCTTTCAGATTGTGTGATGTCATCCCAGTATCTCTGCTACTGAAGTCATGGGGTGGTCATGAGCACTGGTTAATGCTGGCAGAGAAAGAAACAATTCACAAACATTGTCAAAAATGTTTGTTTCTGGGTTTTTTTGTCAAAATGTTGTTTTTGTGGAAATTTTATGGCCAACCCTTATTTACACTGCACTTTGAGGCAAGACCTCCATAGAAATGCAGATATTGGTTTATTAATTATTATTATTCCTGGCATTGAGAGAGCTCTTTCCCCTTTCAGGATCCAACCCTTGTTCTTGTTGACTTCAATGGGAGTTTTGCTTGAGTAAAGACTAAGGGCCTGGGGTACTTAGGTGCCTAACCTAACGCTGGAGGGGAGGGATAGGATACAGAAGGACCTAGACAAATTGGAGGATTGGGCCAAAAGAAATCTGATGAGGTTCAATAAGGATAAGTGCAGGGTCCTGCACTTAGGATGGAAGAATCCAATGCACCGCTACAGACTAGGGACCGAATGGCTAGGCAGCAGTTCTGCGGAAAAGGACCTAGGGGTGACAGTGGACGAGAAGCTGGATATGAGTCAGCAGTGTGCCCTTGTTGCCAAGAAGGCCAATGGCATTTTGGGATGTATAAGTAGGGGCATAGCGAGCAGATTGAGGGACGTGATCGTTCCCCTCTATTCGACATTGGTGAGGCCTCATCTGGAGTACTGTGTCCAGTTTTGGGCCCCACACTACAAGAAGGATGTGGATAAATTGGAGAGAGTCCAGCGAAGGGCAACAAAAATGATTAGGGGTCTAGAACACATGACTTATGAGGAGAGGCTGAGGGAGCTGGGATTGTTTAGCCTGCAGAAGAGAAGAATGAGGGGGGATTTGATAGCTGCTTTCAACTACCTGAAAGGGGGTTCCAAAGAGGATGGCTCTAGACTGTTCTCAATGGTAGCAGATGACAGAACGAGGAGTAATGGTCTCAAGTTGCAGTGGGGGAGGTTTAGATTGGATATTAGGAAAAACTTTTTCACTAAGAGGGTG